GCTTATGAACTGCCAGAAGCTCTCATTGGAAGCCAGCACGCACGCAGCGCAAAATGAGAGGCTACCACTTCGCGTCATTGTCCAAGTTCTATTCTTCGAACAGCTTCGCCTGCGCACATCAATTGGCGGCTGGTTCTTTGCATCTGACAACCTCGACAACTCACAAACCCAAAGCGGAAACCTTGCGCTTGCTCGAACTGAGGCACCTACTCGAGCTGGCACTACGCGTGATCATGTTGCAACAGTTGACATGAGAGAACGAGTTTCGGAGCTCGAGAAAGAGTGCTTGAGCATGAAGCAAGAGATTGGGAAGCTGGTGAAGACAAAGGGGAGTTGGAACACGTTCTTGAAGAGGTTTGGCTTGAGGCTCAAGTCAAAATCTAATGCAAAAAAAGCACCCAAACCCTGCAAACAAAATTATGAATATAATCGATTAAGAGATTGAGATTTTTAAAACACGAATTTTAATGGAACTTGTTTTTTGTGTTTTTTTGGGATAATTTTCTATTCATTTTTCTCTTCTAATTTTTTCTCTAGTTAATTAATAATTAGTTTATCTTAGCACCCAGCAGCAATATTTTTTTTTTTTTTTTTTTTTTTTTTTTTTAAAGGAAACCTTAACCGCAGGTGGGAGGACATGGAAAATAACTGTTTGGCTCGAGTGTTCATGCGAGTCGGACCGGAGTCGCTCCTCCTTTTCATCCCGTTCGTGTGCAAATCCTGGTACCGTACCAGTTGTACCGACCAAAAAGGAATAACTAAAAGATTGAATTTCCGTAGATGTGAGTTGGACTGGTTGGTTGGTCACAATAGTGTGTTCACAACAGTGGTCATCTTTCATTTAACCCTTAGATTATATAAACGGACTATGGATTAATCAATAACCTTATATTATCCCTATTACACCCTAACAAAATAATAATCTTGATTGAAAAGAAAGTTCATGCGTGAAACTTCTCCGTTTTCTTCCCCTACCCGTCTCTCTCCCCCTCCATCCCTCTCTCCCCCTCCTCTCCCTCTCCGTCTAAGCTTTTTGCGTGAGCAGCAGTGCAAGTTGCTAAGATTAATGAGGTCATCTTTCCTTTCGATGTTGTAGAAAGTGGATCTTTTATTAGTCAACACAGGAATATTTTCTTGATTGGCCAATATTATTCTTAATCTTAATCTACTAATATCTGCACTACTGCCCGTGCAAAAAGCTCAGACGGAGAGGGAGGCGGAGAGAGAGGGATTTTTTTTTTGGGGGGGGGGAAGAAAACGGAAGAGCTTCACGTGTGAACCTCTTTTTTAATCGAGATTATTATTTTGTTAGGAACTTAGTGTGTAACAAGAATCATTGATTAATGCATCATCAGATTAATTTAAGGGTTTAAAGAAAAGAGGACCTCACAGGTCCTCAAAATGATGACCTTAGATGAGCATTACTAGTATTCCCAGTCTATTACATTTTTAAGTTGGAATTTTATTTTACTTGGATTTGACCAATTGGTTAAAGCGGCGTGCGCGTAACTTATCAAATTTAAGTTCAAATCTTCTTTTATTTGGATCAAGAGTACTTAAAAAAAAAAAATTTATTTTATCCAAAATATGAGAAAATTCTTTTGATAGAAATTTGTGTTGATCTCTCAATTTTTCATTTTTCTAAGAAAAACACTTAAGAAAAGGTATATAAAAAAAAAATTATGCTCGAGATTTTAAATTCGATTTCGCTAATTTAACATGGGATGTATAAAAGAATGGAGGTTGGTCGTTTCGGGGCCTAGTCAAACCAAGCTGCAACCCAAAACAAGAGTTGTGGGCCGAGAACAAATAGGGCCCATTTTTAGAATCTGAATAGATAAAGGAGGCAATCGCTCTCTGCAAAGAAGCAAAGCTTACATCCTCCACCTCTGTTCAACGTCGTTCGTCACTGTAAGCACCCTCACCCGCAATAAAGTTTAAATATTTACATAATTTTTTGGTTTTTATTTTTATTTTTATATTTTTATTTCATGTGCTTCTTGTGCTTTATATATCAAATTTTGTCTGTTTTAATTTTTGGAAAATGTGTAACAAGATTGAGTTTCTTGAGCAATGAACATAAGGTGTTTGTTGAAATGCCCAGCTGAAATTTTCAGTGCGTTCTTTTTACATGTTGCGATTTTGCTAACTAAACTATTTTCATTGTATTGTTTTCAGTATATGCTAAGTGGGTTTAATGTTTCGTGGGTTTATGCTAAACTTTGCAATCTGATATATCTAATTTTTCTTCTGGTCTGAACTATTTCTATCTTTCTTGCAGATATGGTTTCTTATTCACTTGTTGGGTTTCTGGTTTCGTCTTAAATTTACAAAAGATTCTTAATATCTAGCATTTCGCATTATGCTTCAAACCCTTTTGTAGTTGTTAGAAGCTTTGTTAGATTGTGAAGCTATAATGTCATTTGTAGTCACCTCATCCTCCATTGCCACCTCCTCATACTTTAACCGCCATAGCGTTTCTAAATTAAAATCCTGTGAGAATACTACGAAACATTCATGTGTTCCGTTTGTTCATTGCAAAAGCCCATTTTGCATTACAGAAAATATGCGTACAACTTCTACAAGAAACCCAAATGGCATTTTGAGGTCTACTGTAATGAGCTGCACAAAGCCTGATTATCAGTCTTTTGCTGGAGAAGACGCGGTTTTTCTTGACTTGGGGGATAATGAAGACACAGAGTCGCCCTGGGAAGGGGCAGTAATTTACAAGAGAAACGCTTCGATATCACATGTTGAGTATTGCACAACGTTGGAGAGGCTTGGATTGGAGAACCTTTCAACAGAGGTCTCGAAATCTAGGGCTTCAGTTATGGGATTACGGGTCACCAAAGCTGTGAAGGATTATCCACAGGGCACACCAGTTCAGATCTCCGTTGACATAACTAGGAAGAAGCAAAAACTGAGGCTTGATGGGATCATTAAAACTGTTATCACGCTGACTTGCAGCAGGTATTTTAATTTCTCATTTGATTGATTCCTGTCATCCTGTGATGCCGATAATCGACACACTTTACTTCTCTTATTATATTGTGTTGACATGCATTCATATTATTTTCACTTTTGAAATGTGTAAGTGTTCGAGTTTGCAATTTCACTGTTATTGTTGCTGTTTCCTGCCACTTTTATGTGTTATATAAAATTAGGATTAATTATGCATGAGTCTTCATTTGATGTTTGTGCATTGAATTAGCTTAGCTGGCCTTAGAGACTAGGAAACGTGTCCGTCTGAAAATACAAGTTATGTTGGACCGCTTACCCCTCTAGTCCGCAAGATCAGCTCTAGACATATGGGTAGGTGCAAGATGTGAATAGTAAGGAGACATTCCACAGTTGGGAACCTGCCATTTTCCTAGGTGGGAAGCCTCCAAGCTTTCGATGAATCCCGAAAAGGGGAAACTTAAGATAAACCAGGAACTACCAAGAGATCCTGTTGAACTTCTATCTTTGCATTCACCTCTCTTGGCAATGAATATTGTTCTAGATTCTTAAAGTTCGGACTGGTTCTATGTATTATTGCTCTTAAGTCGGCTGATGGAAACATTGATAACGTTTCATACAATTTTTTCTGTATAATATGCTATTTTCTCATGAGTTAAGATTTGTTCATTATGTTGAAGGTGTGGAGAGCCAGCGGCTGAGTGCATTTTCTCCAACTTCGCCCTTCTCCTAACTGATGAACCCATTGAAGAACCTGATATCATCAATCTGGGAGTGATGTATGGGGACAATTCCAAAACTTACACCGAATTTGGTGACCAAGAGGAGGAAGATGACGAAGCCGCAATTGACTTCGAGGATCAGCTGTATTTTCGCCCCGATGAAAAAGAAATAGACATTTCAAAGCACATAAGAGACGCCGTGCATCTGGAGATTACAATCGCGGCAGTATGTGATCCGAGTTGCAAGGGTTTGTGTCTCGGTTGTGGTAGGAATTTGAACACTAGCAGTTGTACTTGCAGTAAAAAGGAGGTAAAGAAGGGTCTTGGACCTCTTGGAAACTTAAAGAAGCAAATGCAGCAAAAATGACATATATATATATATATATAAATTGATTTGTGAAAATGCAGCTAAATGTTTTTAGTTCAAGCACATCGTGAATACTTTGTTTCTTAAAACTGAGAATTACTACAAAATTAGGGCTCATCACGTAGTTAATCAATCCATAATCTAAAATACTACAATGTGCTTGACCACTTGACCTACAAGTCATTGCAACATCGTTCATGAGATGAGCGCAAAATTGGCATGAAAAAATGGTAGAGATGAGATATGAAATGCCGACGTGTAAATATCAAAAATCGAACATTTGTTACAACGTGGGAAAATAGAAACTCATTGCGACGAGAAAGGTTTATATGAAATGAGTTGAGCATCATCGTGATGTCCTAATCTAATAATATAATGTCATGTGTAAGTTTCTCTCCACATAACGTTGTATTATTAGGCCAGGACACAAATATTGATAAGCTCGTTCATGTAAGTTTTTATACAAGTGATAGGTTTCGATATCTGTCTCTTACTTAACTCCTACATAACGGTGTTAAGGTTCAATGCAATAAAAAAAAAAGTGGAAAAAAACTTAAAAGCAAAACACCGTTATGAAAGTGTTAAGGTTCCGTTTCTAGCAAAGCGGAACAGCCTGCGGTGTTTTGCTTTAACGGTGTTAAGGTAAAGCAAAAAAAAGTGCTAAGGTTACTTAGCACCGAGCAGCAATCGAAGCCTTCCCGCAGGCCCGTTACTCAACCTCCCCTCAGCCACTCAGCGATCCATACCTCAGCCACCCCACAACTGTGGGCGGCCATTGCACTCCTTGTCGCCGGAAAATATCCTTCTCTTTATCTCTTTCTTTCTCTTTTGGCTTGACTACTTTCTTCCCCTCCTCATCCGACTAGAGAGAGAACAAAACCCTAAATTCCCAAATTCGATTCAGTTCGTTTCCAATTCAATTAGCAGTGGTTTGGGGCCAGATGAACACGGCGATGACAAGCGTCAGCAGAACAAAAGCCGGCGCGGCTGCGATTAAATCATCGACGTACAAGCGATGGGGGCGGAGACATCCATTTATCCGATACGGCCTTCCGATGATCTCGCTCACCGTGTGCGGCGCGGTGGGGCTTGGTCACATGATACAAGGAAGCAAGGACATCGCGAAGGTGAAGGACGATCAGGAGTGGGAGATCATCGAGACCCGAAAAGCACTTTCCAGAACGGGGCCCGTCGACGCCTACAAGCCGAAGAAGACATCGCTCGAGGAAGAGCTCAAGGTACAAGCTTTGCAACAAGCCAAAAGCCATAAGCAGTTAGAAAGTGCTTTTGGGAGCTTTTTGACTGATTTTGGCACTTACCCAATTCGATTTTGCAGGTTTTGCAGCAGAAGGTGGACATTAACAAGTACGATTACAAGCCGATTCCTCGCCCAAGTGAAGGCAAATGATACCTCGGCCTCAATGCAATGTATTAACTTGTGGTTTTGTTTTGTTTATGTGCTTGGAAGGAATTTGTTCAAGTTTTTCCGCTAAATCAATAAGCAATTAACAGTTTAACACCATGTTTGATGCTTCATTCTCTCAACTGCACTGCATCTTTCTTTCTTTGGTATTCGGACTCCTCGTTTAGCCATTTGCACGCCAAATTGAATATTTTATGATTTTTCCATAAAACTTTTCAAGTGGTACATCCTCTCCGGCGCGGTACCATAGCCTGAAAGTAATATTTTGCTACCCAACTGGCTAATCACCCACGGAGATATGAAGCAAATTATATATCTATCCTCAGTAAACCAAACGCACGAGGCGGTCGAGCTGGCGGTCTTGTGTCCGGTGGGATGGGGTTGTGTCTGTAGGTTGGACTGGTATCGTGGTTCCGCTTGAAAGAAAGAAAAACAGCAGAAACACTATTGCCTTGCGTTCCAAGCTTCACACTCTGTCTTTCCCTTCTGTTTTTAATTCCCTCTGGATGTAGGGTTTTAATTGTTGTTAAGGATTTGTATTACTCTAGGTCGTATATATAAATTGTAAACATCCTTCTCTTAAGCATTGCTTTCGGTTTCAATTCCGGATTTCTTCTTTTTCTTCTCTTCCGTTTATTCAAACATCGATCCATCGCGTAATTGTTTGCTTTACTCTATTTCCATCTGAATTTTAATTTTGTCCATAGATTGTTCTCTTTTTGCTCTCTCTAGATATTCTGCAGAGATTGTTATTCTGTCTGGTTTACGAATTTTTGTTACCTGTTTCGGGTTATAATTGTCTTGTTTTCGTGCGGGATTAAGAAATTCGGCTCCAACATTGCTTGGTAGGAGTTGAAAGAGTGAAGAATATAGAATGTCTGTGACAGCAGGTGTTAGTGATACTGTGATTGCAGTAAGGGATAAGCTCAGAGGTAAAATTGGGCAAAGAAAGTTACAAGGTATTGGCCTGGAAAAGCTCCCGAGTGGGCAGATGCTGCCGACTAAGATGGGGATATTAGGATGTTCAAGGCAGCAGAATCTCCCACTCAGGGTTCTCATTCTTACAATGTTAGGAAAGATGATTGTAGGCTGCGTCGTTGGGTTGAAAGCAGGACAGATAACCGTGAGGATGTTAGAGCTGACCATAGGCGTTTCCGGCAAGCTGAGATTGTTGCGACAACTGAAGAGGAAGCCATGACGCACCAAGGTTGGAAGCGTAGAAAAAGGATGCAGATGCCAAGGAGGAACGAAGACAAAGGATTAAGGAGAAGATGTCGCTTCAAAGGGAGCAAGAAGATGAAGCTCCACTGCTTCCGTCAGAAGACGAGGAAGAGGAGGAGAAATCTGAGTATGATACTGAATCGGAAGAAGAGCTTAGTGTCATGTTGATGCTGAAGCCGTTGTTTGTTCCCAAGTTGGGGAGACGTACTATTGCTGAGCGTGTGCAACTTGAAGCCGAAGAATGGGCCCTTGAGGAGCCAAGGAAGAAGAAATTGGAGGAAAGGAAGAGAAAGACAAAGCAGATTGTGGTTGAGGAGATCTGGAAGGATAAAGGTTTGGATCAGGAAGTAAACATTGTTGCTGGTATTGATAGTGATGATGAAGTAAATGAGGCAGAGGAGTATGAAGCTTGGAAGGCAAGAGAGATTGTCCGGATCAAGAGTGACAGGGAGGACCGGGAAGCGATGTTGAACGAGGAGGAGGAGACTGAAAAGGTCAGAAACATGACGGAAGAAGAGGGGAGCGAGTGGGAGAGGACGAACCTGAAACCTGCACCACAACCAAAGCAGAAGTGGATGTTCATGCAGAAATATTACCACAAAGGTGCTTTCTTCCAGTCGGAAGCTGACGGCTACAAAGGCGGAACAGACGGCATCTACGCACGCCATTATTCTGCCCCAACTGGAGAAGCTAAGATGGACATAAATTGCCCAAAGTCATTAAAACACTGTAAATGTCGAGAATCAAGAGGGTTAACATTGTTTACTCGAAAGAAGTATTGATAACCAAGAAAGCCCTTGTAACTTCATTCGCTTGAAAGTGTCTGTAGTTCGAATCTTGTGAATGGCAATTGATGAGTTCAATACTAATTTATTCTCTCATACAACCAATTTTCCGTGGATGTGGCGTTATGTTGATGAACATCTCACATTCTATCGTCAAGTAAATACGTAGATCGAAAACACAAAACAAAATTACTCATGCATTGAACAAAACTTTGTCAAATGAATTGAGAGGAGGGTAATTACATACCATTTTTGACAATTACATACTTTTTGCCCCATCTCTCATAGAGAAGAAAACCATTTGCTTTATGTACACCACCCAACAAAAAACACAAGAAATACATGATCTTATAAACCCTAAACCCTACTCTTCCAGTCTCCCTTCTCTTCTTTCCTTCCCAATTATACCTTTTTCACCATCTCCTCGTTTTTCTTTTTCCGTTTTTTATTGATTTACATATAGAAGGCAGGCCGCGGGAGGCCAAATCACATCCAAAAAAACCTCTCCTTGTATCTTCAATTTATCTCCCTCTCCCCAATAAAAATTGAATGACAAAAGGATGAGCACACAGCAACCTTCTATGATTACCTTGGCTTTGGTTGTGAATAAAATGGTCGGACAAGCCGCTGGGCTGATGGACTGCCCAACAACATAGCTTGAGATCGAGTAAGCATCTCAACCATTGATGGGGTTTGATAGGCCTGAACAAGACTTGAACCATCGGTGGAGTCACCTCTTGCTGTCGCTCGTTGCCATGAGTGTGAGCTCAATCCTGAAAGGATGTATGCTCTGCCAGATGCCTCGTACACATGCCTGCTTGCCATCCTCTCTTGCATTTCCTTGAGCTCAGCATCCAATGCTACACACAGGCGGTCCTGGGATTTTGCTGACACGGTCTCTGACAATACCCTTCGACAATTTTCAAGGGTTGAAACTGCACCGGTTAAGTCTCCCAGCTCAGCCGCTCCTCGTGCTAGAGCCATTGCCTCGGCTGCCTGGAGCCTATTACGTTGCCTGTCCACTTCTATTGACACTACTGCTTGCTGAGCTACATCAGGTCTCTCAATTCTAACTTCTTCACTTTCTATTGTTGCCGTTTCTTTATTCAAGGGATCCTTGTAAATGCATCTCACCTTTATCAACGATGTGAGATTGCTACAAGACTCTGTTGGGACATTAACTGAAACCAGAAAATCCCTCTCTTCATCGGCATACATATCTCCAACATCAATAACCCCCTTCCGTCCATCACCCATCACACGACTTGGGTAGCTTCCTGCTTTTACTGAACCAAGGCGGAGACTTGTGTTTACACACTCAACTACCACCTGCAGCTCTTGCACCACGACACTCAAAAGCCCACCAATGCATTGTGCAAATGCATCCTGGATTACAGCTTCTGTCTCAATGAAAGAAAATGTTCCCCCAGATATCTCTGAAATCGAGTGCATCGATGATGCATCATGATCTGCACCGAATCCAAATGCATGCACTGGAATCTGGAAGCCTGTATTGTCACTAGGATGAATAGACAAAGGGAGGAGCAACTGATAATTTGGCTGAGATTGGTTAGGCCCAGAGCCACTGACAGTATAAGTGTCCTGCCCATCCGACAACAGTATTATACTGGCAACAGGATTCTTTCCCCTTCGATCTTCCAATACCTTGCCACCTTTTCTTAAGCCCTCAGCAATGTTGGTCCCACCATTTGCAACCAGAGAGTTAACAGCTTGCAGTGCCTGCTGGCGTCCAGTGTCAGTCATTCGGCGGAGGGGAAAGAGGCGACGTGCTGTTGAAGAGAATGCAATAACTGAAAGTCTGTCGTTGGAGCCAAGATTCTGTATTACAAACCCCATAGCCCGTTTTAGTAATGCAAGCTTGGTTCCTGCCATGCTACCACTGGTGTCAAGCACTGTGACTAGGTCTACTGGAGCACGATGATTGTGTGAAAACTGAGGCAAACTGGAAAGATTTATGCTAGGATTTTGCCTTGTAACTGAAGTAGCAGCTTTCAGATGCACCAAAACAGTAAAATTGTCGTGAGAATTGGATTTTGAAACAGCTGTCACCTCTGGGAATGTTTTGATCTCTACCGTCCTAACAAAATTGTCGTCTCCACCATTTTTATTGCAAGAGCTTCTCTCATCAAACACAGGTTGGTGATCTAAGGTTTCATCATCATTAAATACACCCGGCTCGTGTGCCTGATACAGTGGCACGATGTGCCGTCGGCTCAAGTCTCTTCGAGGAGGAGGTAGTCGGCGAACCACAGTCATCAAAGCATCATTCTGGGGCCAACCTACCGGACCAATAGCTGCCCTTCCAGGAGGAGGATCCAGACTAGGACCCTGTACTGGGATTTCTTTCCACTTGGCCCTACAAACTGGGCAAATTTGATTGCCATGTTTCACGTTCGATGTGATGCAATGAAAATGAAAAGAATGTGAGCATTCTGCAGTGAAAAGAGCATGGCCACCTCCTTGTTTCATCTTGGTTAAGCATATCGAACACGTTTGCTGAAAACATAAAACAAGTGTAAGAAAGAAAGCATAAATAAGCCATATCCATCCAACGATACACATTATCGCACACAGGCATCATGGAAATTAAAACTTTTAAACAATCTCAAAGAAAATATCATATATCAACACAGCGTGACGATTCTAATCCATTGAGCAATTCAACAGCAACGTGCTAAGTACAAAAACAACTGTGATACTAAAAGTAGTCATGCCAACAAAAGGAAGGAGGAATTTTTGTGTGGTAAGAGATGCCTTTAAAACATAGGGTAGGCATCTGTGTGGTAAGAGATGCCTTTAAACATAGGGTAGGCAAAGCGAGATGCCTTTAAACATAGGGGAGGCAAAGCGAGTAGAATTATCACAAACAGACAAATAAAAGAGAGTGATAGATCTACTGGTAAGATGATAAAAGTCAAGGTTAGGTATCCAAGCTTAGATCTACATGCAAGGGGCATATTAGGAAAAGGATAAAAAATCTATCATGGAACCCAATGTAAAGATAACTAAACCTCAAAATTTGCTCTATTTTTTACGGTGCTCCGGAGTATCCTATATTTCGGGGTTTTTAAC